CGTTGAAGGCAGAGGCTCAGGATGTGCCCAACAGGGGGAGCCTGGGGCTTGAGCCCTACTCACTCTTCTCATCCTTACTTCTTGGACCCAGGCCACTCCCACCCTCATCCTGCCTTCCAGGGGTGGGGCCCAGGAGCCCCTCTACTCATTTGCCACCTTTACAGTGTTCCTGCCTGCTTGTTTGGACCGCCCCGGAAGCTACTGGCTCTTCCTTCAATCCGAAGATTCAGGCTGGACAAATGCGGGTGTGTGTGTGTGTGTGTGTGTGTGTGTGTGTGTGTGTGTGTGTGTGTGTGTCACCAGCCCCACCTGTGTTCAGAGGTTCCTGAGATCTCTGTGAGGACAAGCCAGCAGCAGGCTGTCAGTCTTAGCTCTGAGATCAAGTTCTCTGTGGGTGGAGGCTGGGAGAGGAGGGGGATGACGGGGTAGGTGTTGTTTTGGCTTCTACTCAGCAGATAATTCAGCTAGTGTCTGAGGCCTGCCCTCCACTATGGCATTCCGCCACACATGGACTTCTGGAAAGAGGCGCCTGAGTAGTTTTAGTCCTGCTTGCCAACTTTTCAGTCCAGGAAAGGGGACCAGACTGTATAAGAGCCACGCAGTGAAAGCCAGCCGCGCATGCGCACTCCTGCCGCTCCGCTGGGGTCTGTCCACCTAAGCGTGGTGGTGGAGTCAGGAATGTCTCAGAGGGAACAGGCTGATCTTTGGGGTTCTGAGGCATTCTCTCCTGTCTTCCTCTCAATGGCCCTCAGGGGTACCCAGTGTCTCCACAGCTCTTTCCTCTTGAGCAGCACCCAAATGTTCCCCTCCGCTGAGTTCAGTCATCCGTGAGAGCCACGCCTACTCTACTTTCTCTCCCTGCTGTGTGTGTGTCTGTGTCTCTGTGTCTGTGTCTGTGTGAGTGTGTGTGTGTGTGTGTGTGTGTGTGTGTGTGTGTGTGTGTGTAGGTGGCCGTGAGCTCTGGGCTCATCATCATTCCTGGGAGCATGGCCTTTGACCAGCCCTCATTCAGTCTAGCTGGAAGGGAGGGGACCTTTCCTGGATTCTCCAATATTTCTGCTGAACCAACCTCCCAGGCTTCTTTCTTGGTAGCTTGAAAATGTCAGCTTGCTAGAGTGGGAGGTGGGGAGGAGTTGGGGTGCAGAATGCTGGAGCTGTAGAGTGGGAACGAGGGCATGTCAGAGTACGGAAGTTTGAGTGTGGGTTACGGGCATTTAGAATGTTTGGATAATCATAGATTACGAGAGAAATTATGCCCTGATGAGGGAGCAAATGTTCTAAAAGATACTTACATGGCTGGGAGTGGTGACACACTCCTTTAATCCCAGCACAGAGGCAGGTTGCACCTCTGTGAGTCTGAGGCCAGCCTGGTCTACATAGTGAGTTCTTAGCTGGCTAAGACAGTGGGAGACTGTCTCAAAGAAAGCAAAACAACAAACAAGCGAGACTTGTGTACCTCTTCCTGCAGTTCTCAAGTCGCCTTTTCTTCACTTGCTCACCGCTGAAGAACAGAACCAACAACTGAGAACTCTTCCAGGGGGGCTGGAGAGATGGCTCAGAGATGGTTGCTCTTCCAAAGTCCTGAGTTCAGTTCCCAGCACCCACATGGTGGCTCATAACCATGTATAACAAGATTCTGGCATGCAGGCAGAATACTGTATAAATAATAAATAAATAAATCTTAAAAAAAAAAAAAAAACTCTTCCAGGCCCAGAATAGGTGGGAATCTTACCCCTCACAATACCCCCTGGGAGGGCTTGTTCTTAGGGCTGGAGATAAGGCTCAGTTGGTGGAGCTCTGCTTCACACTCATGAAGCCCTAGACTCAAAACCCAGCATTGCAGAGCCTGAGTGTGGTGGTCCAGGCCTGTGACCCCTGCTCTCAGGAAGCGGAAGCAGGATGAGAAGTTCCAGATCTTTCTCCATCCACTACACAGTGAATTCATGGCCAACCTGGGCTACATAACACCCTGTCTGAAAACAGAAGGGGAGGGGTAGTCTTGCAGGCCGTAGTGGCCCATATCTGTAATCTCAGCTCTGTAATTTCAGCACTTGGGTGGCTGAGGCAGGAGAATCAATAGTTTAAGGCTATTTATTCCCTGCTAAGTAGTGGGTGCCAGGCCAGCCTAAACTAAGCAAGCTCCTGTCTCAAATCTCCACATCCCTAAAAAACAAAAGCAAATACAAAATGGGGGAATCTTTAAGATTTTGATTAAAAATCTTTGTATAAGGGAGAATGAAGCCAACCTCGGCCAGGTCATCTGGAGCTCTGGAAAAGTTCCATTAACCTGTCTTACCTTTGTTTTGTGCTTTTTTTTATTTATTTTTATTTATTTATTTTTTGAGACAGGGTTTCTCTGTGTAGTGCTGGCTGTCCTGGAGCTCACTGTGTATACCAGGCTGGCCATGAACTCATTGTTATTCTCCTGTCTCTGCCCCTGTCTCTCAAGTGCTGGCACTTAAGGTACGTGCCACACCAGGCCCGCCTGTGTCTTTCTGTAAATTCTAAGAGAGCCTAGGCATGTTGGGGTGGAAACTAGACCTCCATTCCCCATGGTTTGGCCAAATTGTTAGTAAATCCACTTTCTTTTACCAATTTCTGCTTCCCTGTATTTTGACACAGGGAAAGGGAGGTGGCAGGTTTTTGAACCTAAGCACCCAGTAGCTCCAGGACTAGAACCATAAGCAAAGATAACCAGAATTATGGATTAAAGAAAAGCAGGCCAGAGTGTCACCACTGGGTCCCACCTCCTAACAGCTTCGAAGAAAGAACTCACCTCACGGGGTACTCAGAAAGTCAGGTCAGACCCACACCTCCTGCTAAGAGATCTCTGTCCTCCAGACCCTGTGGAACAGCACAGGGGTCTCTGGGAAAGAAGTAATCCTGCTGGGGAACAGCGGACACCAGGGACAATGGCTGGTCCTGCTTCTGCCTGAGCCTTCCAGCAGCCCATCATACCCTGCCACAGGAGATAGATTCATGTGCCCTCCCACAAAATATTTCCACAGCTCCCGACACTGCCTTTTATGTCCCCTTGTCCTCCGAGGCGTCTGGGCACCATCTCCAAACTGGCCCGATGAAGTCAGCAGGAACAGGGGCTCTTACGCTGCCAACATAAATGTTTTAGCCCCAGAAATGAAGTCTAGCCTGAGGGGTTTCCTGGTCCACGTGGGCCAGGAGCTCAACTCTGGTCTCAAAGCCTGCCCCCCGCTCCCAAGACCTGCTTTGGATCAAGAATGGAACATCTTCATCTTGCTCATTTTAGCTTTTCTTGTTCTAGGCAGAGGGACACCAGTCTCTGCCCCTCATGGTTCCCAAGCTTACACTCCAAGTGCCCAGGCTGTCTGTCTGTCCCTCACAGTGGTCATCGGAATGGAGAGGCGCCCATCTAAGCCCTAGGCTGCCCTTATTTCCCTTCAGCCTCTTTCCCACGCTCTGTCCCAGGCCATGCAACTCCCCGTTAGCCCGTGCCTTGCCAGGAGACAGGGTGTCGCTGAGAAAGCAATTGAGATGACACAGTCTGGGGATAGGAATGAGACACCACAGATGCCTGAGTTGAAGGGCTCTGAGATCCCACCTGCGCAGCCCCTCAGAACCATGGGATGTGAGTTCCTGGAGGTGTGCAGGGACCTGTCCATGTGCGGACCTCCATCGCTTTCGTCACAGTTCTGACACCACCGCTAAGTGTTTTAATGTGTCGGGTCCTGTGCAAACACGTTATATCCAGGAAGTTGGCCAGTTCTCACAGTAACCCTACAGGGCAAATACTATTAATGTCTCAGTCTTTAAAAAAGAAAAGAAAAGACTAAGGCACTCGGGGGCACCCCTCCCCAAGTCCTGCAAGAACTGGGGTCTGAAACACGCTGGTCTGACAAGGAGGCCTTGGCCATCCTGGGCTGCTAAGGAAGCTCCTTCTCTATGGCTCCCCCAGGGTCCTGTGGGTGCAGTAGAGATGAGACCCTTATTCTCCCAAAAGTCCAAGAAACTGGTCCCTGAAGTGACTAAAACACACAAATGTACCTAACTGGGAAGCCACATGCTGTGGTGTCTCAGCCCTTCGAAGCCAGTTGGGGGCGGGAAACTGCAGGGTGCTGAAAGGCCCCATGGCTGCATAAACACAGCAGACGGCCAAGCCCCAGCCAGCCCTTCAGAGGAGACGCTCAGAGCGGTGCTTTCACACGAAAACAAATGCAGAAACGCAGGCGAGGAGTGCACAAGAGTTTGTTAAGTCAAGAATGAGGTTTCAGAGGACTGTCTCTTGCATATGGCAGGGGTGGGAGATGAGAGGGGCTGGGAGTCTGGCCTCTGCCACTTCCTCCTCTATACCCAGGGTGAGCTTGCACTCTGCCAAGCCCTGGGTACGAGGTAGAGTCCCCTGCGATTCCTAAAAAGCTCTCAGCAGCTGCTGGTGGGCAGGAATTCTCGTACTTTGGGAGGTGGATGGAGGCAGGATCATCGGGAGTTCAGGGCGAGTCTGGGCTACAGCAGACCCTATCTCCGGGAGAGAAAAGGGAGGGGGAAAGAGGAAGAGGAGGGGCGCTTTCCGTGGTACCGATACACAGACGCTGCTCACCTTCCACTATGTGGCTCGGCAGGCAGCAATGGTGGCGCCTGTACCCTACAACGCAGACACCTTACACCGGCCACGCAGCACAGGCAGTGCCCCGTGGTGCTCCAGCACCCGCGCCGTGGAAGCCGTGCGTCACCATGGCAGAGTCACTCCTAGCCATAGGCATCACACGCTTCTTGGAGCCACCCGGGCTCCACAATCCTTCCATCACACGTGGAACGCCACGCACACTAACTGTGCCCAGTTATTCTGTATTGTTCACGCTATCTCCCCAAGGAATTGTTCCCATAGTCTTCCCTACCCCCGGGAAAGGGGGAGGGGCAAGAGCTACAGCCGGCAGGCCTGTCCTGTACCCCCTGTGCCCTCGCCTGCAGCTCCTGTCCCGTTGGTCCCCACCATCGCCGCGTCCCGCCCCCGCGTGCGCCCTCACCTGCGCTGCGCAGCACCAGCCGCGCCGGTCCGTCCCGAGTCAGGGTTGCTTCTCTGGGAGGCGGCCCAGCACTTGGATGAGGGGCTGCGGCGGTGTTGTAGCTCTGGTCCCAAGGGTCCCTGGCGTCCTGCGGTACCAAAGCAAGACGAACGGGGAGCGGGAGCGGCTGTGGCCGGGTGGCCTTGGCACCCAGCAGTGGAGTCCCGCCCAGCCAGGACGGGGCTGGGCTTTCTGCCCTTGGTGGGACAAGGAGGCGGTGATAGATTATTAAGCTGCAGGCGGCAGAGGATAGGGCTCCTAGGCTGAGAGCGCGCTGCGAGGTTGAACTCTAAATCCCGAAGCTGCTCCAGCCCTTTCCTGGCCTCAGTTTCCCTCTTTATTTGTCTCTCTGTGTCTCTTTCTCTCTCTCTCTCTCCTTCCCTCTCCCTTCCCTACCCGCTGTCTCTGAGAGAGAGAGGGAGAGAACTCTGACTTTTGTGATTCTGCCTGACGGAGGAGGATGGAATGGTGGGGGAGGGCGAAGGTTCGGTATAATTTTGCAATTATCTACTTGTATCTACTGTGCTTTCATTTGCTCATCTGTTTACTTATCCACCTGTATTTTGAAGCAGGGTCTCAGGCCTCCCAGAAAGACCCGGAACTTGATGTGTACCCAAGTACAACTTGGACCTGCTGATCCTCTTGCCTCCACTTCCTTCCTTCTGGGGTTAAGAGCGTGAGGGAACACACCAGGTTTACCCAGTGCGGAGGATCCAGCCCAGAGCTTTGTGTATGCTAGTCAGACCCTCTCCGTGCAGGGCTCCTTCCTCAGCCCCGGGGCAGCTATTTTAGTGCCTTTAATCCTCAAAGCAACTCCAGAGGTATCAGGATGCCCATTTTAAAGTGGGAAAGCCGGGACACAGAAAGCTGAAGTGACTCACCCAATGCCACATGGATGTCAAGAGGCAGACCTGAGTCCTGCAGCCGTGAGATCTGACTGCAGAGCCTGAGTGCAGGCGTCTACACCTCTACACCGTAAGCAGCTTCCTGGCGTTCAGGACAACCAGCGATTTGGAGTCGCCCTTCCATTTTATAAACTAAGAAACAGAAGCACAGAGACTCTAGCTTCTTCTGATGACTGTCCTGCTAGCGGAACAGGACAATGACAGAGAATAGATGCTCCTCAGTGTCAGTGTCCCTCCTGCACTGTCCTTCCTCCTCTACCTCCTTCCTGACTCTTAAGATCTGGCTGGGGAAGAGGGACCTCCAGTCTCCTGTCTCTGACTTGTCTTCCCCTGATCTGTGGTCCCAAGCAGAGTCATCAGGGTTTGGAACGGTGTGGATGTAGCTCAGTGGTAGGTAATTTGCCTAGCAGGTTCATCTCTAGAGTCTCTGAGGCTTGAGCTGGCTGGGAGCCTCAACTGTCCTACCAAATCTTTGTGACATCCCAGTGTCTTCTGAAGATGCTACTAGTATCCCATTCTACAGACAAGGCGATGGAGGTCTGTGAGTGGGGATGTCTGTGTCAGGGTTCAGGGAATTCATGCTGCTGGTGGAGATACTGGATTCAACGCCTGAGTCCTTAGTTTTTCCTTAGCTTAGCTCTTCACTGCGCTGCTTGTCTGGCTGAGCCAACAACTGGATGAGAGGGCAAAGGCCCCTTGGATGCAAAGCTGAAAGTGTGAGACTGGGAGCTGGCTCAGTGGTTGAAGCATCTGCCATGCAAGTGTGAGGGAGGGAGTTCAGATCCCTAGAACCCACGCAAGTGAGGTAGGCCACCCGTAATTCCAGAGTCCAGAAGGTGACAACCGGGACAGGCTAGCCAGCCAGACTAGCTATACTCAGCTGAGCCCATCTCAGTGAATAAAATAGAGCGCAATTGGGGAAGATTCCCGATGCCAAACCTCATGCTTCAGCACACATGTGTAACACCTCCACGTGTCCCCACAGGTGACCAGACATACACCCACACCATACACACATTCACTTGAGGAAATTAGAAAGTAAACATACACAAACAAAACATACAAAATAACATTATACTCATGCGGCGAGCATGCAAAGACATGACTAGGCATGACCAATAGGGTGGGAAAGAAGGGATGGGACTGCAGGAGTGCCATGACCCTGGCTTTCTCTTCTGACTCTCTCTGCTCTGTGAGTGGGGCCAGCACACAGGGGGAGCCTCTCTGAAGCAGGCTGACACTGTGACAGTCCCTCAGGGCTTGAAATGGCCCATGGCTGGCCTCTGCCGTGCCCTCTCACTCTGGTCCGATGTGGCCTCTCTCTGGGCAGTCACTGCGTTTGTGATTTATGTGCCGCTCTCCCAGTCTTGGCCCAGGACTCTGGAGAGGTCTGAGTGAAGCATTAACACGGGATTCCTTGGAGGTTTGAGGCTGTAGTCATCACTCATTTATTCACTAATGCCTGTGCAGGGCCCTGGGGAGACAAAGGTGAAAGTTCATGGCCAACGGCCCCTACAAGTGCCCAGTGCAGAGGGGAATAGACTAGGACGTGGTGGGCATTGGCACAGGAGATGCCCAGCCTAGGGACAAAGAGGACTTCAGGGCTCAAGCACGTCTTCAGCTGAGTATTCACAATGACTCGGGTTCTCTGGACAGAGGCAAGGGCTGTGTTTCTGGGGAGGGGGCAGCAAGTAACTGACCTGGGGTGGGGTTGAGCATAATGGATTCTGGGAACCCTGAGGCAGAGGTTAAGTGGTTTATTTGGGAGGTGACCCAGGGGAAGGAAGGAAGCTGGCTCAGGGTGGTGACCAAGCAGAGTCCTGTTGGGGATCCGTGCTGTTGGGAATCTCTGGAGTGGGGAGCTTCACAGAACATGTGTCTGATACATCCCTTCACCCTCTACTGAGAGAAAGAAAGCGGAAACATTTGTCTACCAGTGCAGGCCTGCACGGATGGTATTGACCCTGGAACCTGGGTGCTGCAAAAGCTAGCGAAAGCCACGGGGCAAAGGCAGAGCTGGTCTCTCCATTGAGGAGCTGGAGGATAGGAGGTGGGTGGAGAAGGGTACAGCTGAGTCCACAGCAGCAGCTCCGGGTGAGGGGGCGCTGGCTTTCCAGGGGGGACCATGAAAAAGTCTGAGGGAGCCGGAGTGGAAGATGAGCGTGGACCTGGGAGGCCCCAACTGCTTCCCAGCATCTCCCCACTCTCTTCAGCGTCTCCTATCCTTCCTTCCTTCCCTTTTTTAAAAACAGAGTCTCACTGTGTGGCCCTGGCTGACTGGCCTGAAACTCGTTCTATAGAATGGGGCCGGGGCGGGGGGGGAGGGCAGGGGTAGTGGTGAAGTCAGAGATCTGCCTGTTACTGCCTCTCAGGTTCTGGGATTAAAGGCACGTCCCACAGCGTTCCGGCCAACCCTTTCTCCCTGGTTGGCCCACTGTCCCCACATCCTCCTGGGCGAGCAGAGCACCCACTCAGCGTCTACACATGGACTGGAGGAATGAGTTGAAGGTGGGAGAAGAGATGTCCAGGGTTGAGAACTGAGGGAGTGCAGCCAGCAAGGTGAGAGGAGGAAGAGCAACATCCTGTCACTGAGGCTTAGTAAGTGGTCTTGGTGGTGGTGGGGCTCTGACCCAGGAGCCAGGCCCAGCCCTGAGGCCCCAGGAGAGGTCAGGAGCCCTCCCTCAAACTGTGTCTGGCAGTGAACTTACTTCCTTTCCCTCCCAGCTCCAGTCAGCCCTCTGCCTCAGAGCCTAGAGCAGCTGGCCAAAGTAGCTGGCAGGCACCCAGCAAGACGTGCTGCTGGACAGGCTATGTCTGTCATTTCCAGTAACTCCTGAGTCTTTCCCTAGGCCTGCCATTCCCAGCCTTGGGGTACTTTGCTTTCAAAACAGGCATGTTTTCAGCATCCCCACCTCCCTTCCGGAGGTTCAGAAGCCCAGGATGGCGCCCATCTGCCCTGTAGTCCAGCAGAGGAGTCCAGCCTTTGTCCTACTGGGAGACCCTGCTAGAAGTCGCCTCTTCATGGTCTCGCTGCATTCTGGATGCCCACAGACTGTCAGTGTTCCCACCAATAGCCCAGGAATTCCTGCCCAGGCAGCTCTTCCCCAGGGCTCTGGTCTCCCCCCTTGCCTCGATGTAAGTGGACGGGAGACCCCCACATCCCAGGCACCAGAGCACCTCTTGCTTCCATTGCCACATTCTCTGGCAACACTAAAGGCGAGCAGAGTCCCTGGTAGAAGAGGGGGCAGCCCACAGACATCTGCTGACACAGCGGTTGGTGGTCTTGTGACCTCTGCAGGGTTCTGGTGGCCTGGGCTGGAGAGCCACTGAGGGCATAAACGCAAAATCATCATGAGGAACAACAAGCTGGCTGTGGCGGAGCACCCCTGTAATCCCAGCACTTGAGAGGTAGAGGCGGGAGGATCAGAGTTCAAGGCCAGCCTCAGCAACACAGTGAATTCAAGGGACGCTTGGGGTTCACTGAATTTTGTCTAACTAACTGACTAACCAACCAACTAACTAATTAACTAGCTAACTAGATAACTAACTTGGCCAGAGTGGTTTGTAGCAGGGCTTAGATTGGGAAAATGAGTGAAACTTCTGAGATTCACCTGGATATTTCCATTTGATAAAAGTTTAAGTACATAGTAAAGAAAAGTCGATGTTTTCAATCACTTCAGCAGGTTGCAAACCTAAATTCTATCCTTAGGGAAGCAGGGACACAAATCACGCTGTAGAGGGAGGAAGGTTTTCGTGTGTCAGTCTAGAAAGATTCTTAAAAAAAATCCTTGATGGATGTGGCAATGACACTTTTTTCTTTTTAATATTTATTTTCATTTTATGTGTATGAGTGTTTGTCTGTGTGTCTGTCTGTGCACTGCTTGTGTGCAGTGCCCACAGAAGCCAGAAGAGGGAGTAGGAGCCTCTGGAACTGGAGTCACGGACAGCTATAAGCACCATGTGGGTGCTGGAAATGGAGCCTGGGTCCTCTGGAAGAGCAGTCCCTGCTCTGGACCACTAAGCCACCTCCCCAGCCCTGGGGAGGCAGAGGCGGGAGAACCGGAAGTTGGAGCTCAGCTGATGGGCTCTGGCCTCTGCAGGTGAACGCATGGATGTACCAGTTACTTTCTGTTGCGATAATAACACAGCACAACCATGACTCTTTATGGAAGAAAGAATTTAATTTTGCTTCCAGTTCCGGAGGGGTAAGAGTCC